CTCTCTCTCTCTCTCTCTTTCTCTTATAGTTTACATATGTAATATAGAATTATCTTTTTCTTATAGAAACAGCTCAAAGTCCTTGAGATAGTTTAAGTCTCAGATTGTATTCAAATGTATATGTTAAAGTTTGAAGGCTAGGCATAGTGATGCAAGCCTGTAATCAGAACACTCAGAAGAGAAGCAGGGCAACTGCAAGTTCAAAGGCAGATTTATTTGCAGAGCAAGACTCATCTCCACCAAAAATAAGTGGAGATGTAATGTAATGACATATATATATATATATATATTTTATAAACATGGCAAATTCAGCTTTACTGCTTTTTAATGTGGGATATTTCATAAATTGGAGTTGTATTCTTTTTTTTCTTTTTCTTAGAGATGAAGTATACATAGTCCAAGCTGGCCTCTACCTTAAATTTTATATCAGCTTCTCAAGACTAAGATTATACTTATTTGCTATCACAGTTTCAATCAATTATTTTTTTTTTCTCTTTGGTGGTACTGGGGGTGGGGCGACATTGAAGCCAGGGGTTCATACAAGCTAGGAAACTGTTCCAATCCTACTTCCCAGCCTTTCAAGTAATTGAGATTATATATAGGACTGCAAGATTTTTTTTATTGGTGTGTGTGTGTGTGTTTATATGTGTGTGTATGTGTATGTACTTATGAGTGTAGGTGCCTGTAGAGTCCTGAGTGTCAGGTTCCTCCAAAACTGGAGTTTCAGACAGTTGTGAGCTTCCCCACGTGGGGACTTGGGCCCTCTGAAACAGTTATTTGAAATTTTAACCACTGGGCCATCTCTCTAACTCTCCATAATAATAATATCCTATGTTTTTATTTTGTTTGGTGTTTTTGTTTTTTCAAAACTGGGTTTCTCCATATAGCCCTGGCTGTCCTAGAACTTGCTTAGTAGACCAGGTTGGCTTCGAACTCCGAGATCTCTCTGTCTCTGCCTCCTCCATAGTGCTGAGATTAAAGACATGGGCTAGGATAATGACTTACATGGAAGAAATTGTCATAAGGAATCTTATTTCTCTGCATGCTAAATCCCACATGTAAAATGAATTAGATTACAAAAGAATGAACTGAATAAACAAAGAAGAAAGGTAATAGAACACCACCTAAAGCCCCCTTTACCCTTGCCCACATCTCCTGTGGATCCCACAAACCTCCCCTCCTAACCTCCCTCTCCCAACTTGTTGCTTTATCCCAGGCCACAACTCCAGCATGCACATTTCTATTGGTTCCACAGGCTATTCCTGACAGTGAAGCAGGTAGGTTGTCTATAGATTTTATCCTCTCTTTCTATTCCTATAGATCAAACCATCCAGTCTCATCCCCAGCTGGGTAGCAGACCCTCTAGTATGACCTCTCTTCACTGTCTCTCACTTTGTATAAAGAGACAAAATAAGCAGAAATAAGGAGAAAATTATCTTTTCCTCTCTCCTGTGAATCCATTCAGTCCCCTAGCCTATCCCCATTCCTAAGTGGCAGTTACCAAATTTACCTGGAACTCCCAGTGGCCACAACTCCCAGGTCCAAAGAATATTTCCTAGCAGGCAACACACAGCCATCATACTCCTCAAAAATCCAGGGAGAAAACAGAAAACAAGGACCAAAACACGTACCCAACCAAGACAAATTGAGAAATTAGCACCTCGACCTGTAATCATTCCAATTCCAGATGCCTAGAAGCCATTGTAAAAACACAATATCATCCAACAATATGTCTCCACCAGAGCCCAGCTATCCTACCACAGCAGAGCTTGAATATGTAACATGGCTAAAGCACAAGAAAAAAAGCCTAAAACTGTATATATGAATATTATAGAGGTCCTTAAAGAGGAAATTAATAAATCTCTTAAAGAACGCCAGGAAAACACAAACTCTAGAAGAAAATAAATAAAACTATTCAAATTCTGAAAAAGAAAATAGGATCAGTAAAGGACATCAAAACTGAGAGAACTTGGGAAATTAAAAATTTAAGAATTTGGACAGAAATTATATACACAGGTAAGCTTTACCAACAGAATACAGAGATAGAAGAGAGAATCTCTAAAAATCTCTTGACACAAAACATCCAGGAAATCTAGATACTATGAAAAGGCCAAACAAACCTATAGGAAAGGTAGAAAGAGAATAATCCCAGGTTAAAGGCCTGGAAAATATTTTCAAAAAAAAATCATAGAAAAAAAAAAAGCCAGGCAGTGGTGGCGCACGCCTTTAATCCCAGCACTTGGGAGGCAGAGGCAGGCAGACTTCTGAGTTCGAGGCCGACCTGGTCTGCAGAGTGAGTTCCAGGACAGCCAAGGCTACACAGAGAAATCCTGTCTCAAAAATCAAAAACAAAACAAACAACCCCAAAAAACAAATCATAGAAGAAAAATTCCCTATCCAAAAGAAAAAGATGCCTATAAAGACATAAGAAGCTTACAGAACACCAAAAAAAAAAAAAAAAAAAAAAAAACTAGACCAGAAAAGAAAGTCCCCTTGGCACTTAATAACAAAAACACTAAATATTCAGAACAGAGAAAGAATAGTGAAAGCTGAAAGGAGAAAAAAACCAAGTAATATATTCAACCTATTAGAATTACACCTGACTTTTCAGTGGAGACTCTTTGGTGGTTTAATAGGGATGGCCCCCATGGATTTGTATGTTTGTGTAGTGAGAGTTTTTGTTTCTTTGCAAACTCAAATATCTTACGGCAATATGTTTTTGTTTTAATCCCAGGTGTGAGATAAAAGGCTGCTTCACAGCAGGTGATTATGATTTGCCTTGTGCACTAGCAGGAGTATAATCCTTGCCAGCTACAGATAGTTAAATTCTGGAGACTCTGGAGAGAGTATAAATTCTGGAGCCCTGAGGGCAGCTGCTGCCCCCCCACACACACACACACACACACACTGCTGCTTCTAGTTGCTGTGTGGTTTGTCAAATGTTTGAGAGCAAAGAGATGAGAAGAAGTTGGAGATATCCTGATGAAGAAGATTGAACTTGCCTCAAGGACCCAATGTCCCTAATGAACTGGAAGTAGCCTATAGAGGTATGTGCCCCCTTTCCTCTCTAACCTTCTTTCTCTCCTACCTAGTGTTGAGAGGTTGAAAAGAATTAGGGTAGAATAAGGGTGAAAGGGAGACAGAGGTATAAGAACTCAATAAAATAGACCCAAAATAACACCTATATGTTTGAATGTTTGACGAATAGGGGGTGGCACTATAAGGAGATATGGCCTTGTTAGAGTAAGTATGTCACTGTGGGAGGTGGGCTTTGAGGTCTCATATGCTCAATCTATGCCCAGTATAGCATACAGTCTCTTTCTGCTACCTTGACATCAAGATGTAGAACTCTCAGATCCTTCTCCAGCACCATGTCTGCCTACATGCAGCCATGTTTCCTGTCATGATGATAAACCTGTGACCTGTAAGCCAGCCCCAATTAAATATTTTCCTTTAGAAAAGTTTCCATGGTCATGATTTCTCTTCACAGAAATATAAACACTAAGACAGACTCTAAAAGCCAGAACAGACTAGAAAGACGTACAGCAGACTCAGATGAGAGACCACAGATGACAGCTGAGACTACTACTATACTGAGCCAGACTTTCAATAACCATAGATAGATAAAAGAATATTACATGATAGCTATGTGGTGGCAGTGAATGCCTTTAATCCCAGTGCTCAGGAGACAGAGGCAAACAGAGCTGTATGAGTTCAAGGCCAGCCTGGACTACAGAATGAGTTCCAAGACAGAAGACAGTCATAGAGAGAAACTCTGTGTTGAAAACCAGTGAGAAAAGCAAAAAAGATATTCCATGATAAAGCCAAATTTAAACAATATCTATACACAAATCGAATCCTACAGAACATACAGAAGTTGCTAAAAGAAAAATTCCAACATAATGAGTTTAACTAGGCCAGGCGGTGGTGGCGCACACCTTTAATCCCAGCGCTTGGGAGGCAGAGGCAGGTGGATTTCTGAGTTCGAGGCCAGCCTGGTCTACAGAGTGAGTTCCAGGACAGCCAGGGCTACACAGAGAAACCCTGTCTAGAAAAAAACCAAAAAAAAAAAAAAAAGAGTTTAACTATAGCCATGAAAACAATAAAAAAATTCTTAAGTCAATAAAATCAAATGAAGAGAAATACACACACACTCATAACAAAAACAAAAACAAAAAAAAAAAAGAAATCATCAATCATTGGCCATTGATATCTCTCAATATCAATGGTCTCGATTCTCCAATAAAAAGACACAGAGTAACAGAATGTTAAAACAGGATGCATCCTTCTGTTGTATCCAAGAAGCTCACATTAACATCAAGGATAGACATTACCTCAGGATAAAGGGTTGGAAAACAAATATTCCAAGCAAATAGATCTAAGAAGAAAGTTGGTGTTAGATTTTAATTTTTGTTAAATAATTTGTTAGATTGTAATATTTAACAAAATAGTCTTCAAACCAAAACTAGTCAGAAGGGAAAGGAAAGAACAATACATATTCAAAAGGGAAAGCCCATTAACAGTTCAATTCTTAACATCTATGTCCCAAACACAAGGGCAGCCATGTTTATTAAAGAAATGATAACTGCTGGGTGTGGTGGTTCATGCCTTTAGTCTCAGCATTGAGGAGGCCAGAGACAGAAGGATTTTCATGAGTTTAAGATGAGGCTAGA